AAAAAAAAAAAAGAGAACGTTCATTTCATACTACAAAGAAGATGACCGTTCATAATTGATGAAATTGATGTGGATTATGAGCATGGACTATGAATAAGTTCGTTCAAATTCACTTATAAGATCTTCATGTGGTTATTTATCAACTAAAAATCGATGTAATCACGAAGATGATGACTCCAATGGATATCTACATATCCGACGGAGGTGATGACATGATGATGCTATCGTAAATTATGAGCATGAACCAATTGATGAGTTCGTTTAGTTTGCATGGTGATGTGAGACGATGGAGATACACAACTACTACAGTATTCTCCACCGAATCGATGACCTTATGGCGAGGTAAAAACGTCATTGATGACCCTGCAGTGGGTATGAAGACTTTGAAGATGACTTCGTGATCGTCAAATCTCATTCGTGTTACCACGTATGAGTTTGCGGGAGGGTGTTAGGAGATCTCGGCGATGACGAGATAGTCCTTGAATATATTTTCTTATAGGATTTAGGAAAGTTAATATTTCTGTATATTTTTGTTATCAAATATATTTCCTCCTATATCAAATATGTAAACAACTTGTTCACCAAGTTATAACGTTGTATAAATAAGTCTATTGGCTAATCAATTTAAAAAAAAAAACTATACAACAGAAACAAATAAGGAAAACAGAAAATACGCCCAAGAAAAAGATCTATAATCTATAAAAAGAAAAGAAAAAATAGGGGTTGAATAGTAAATACGTGGAAAACATGTTCGACGATAGCTGCATAAGCAATGGAAGAAAAGAGAACAAGGACGATGAAAGCTTGGATTGCATGAAGACGATGCATTGTTGTTGCAAAGGATTTCAAAACGACGACGTTGACCAAAACGTGATGAAACGCCGACGTTAGATGGCAATTGCCACTTTTGCTTTGGTTTCTCGGAGAGGACTGTATGGGGTATATATATATATAGTTAGGACTAAGGAGAGAAATGTGAAAAACAATTGACGACATGGTTGAGTTTGCAACATTATATGTATAATAATGTTATATATTAATCAGTAACTAGCAAATGGCAAAATCTCAAACGTGGTGCATAGTCATTAGACGTTATTAAAATCTATTCATATTAATTTATGGTTAACCAAACAAAGAAAAACTACTTGTTGTCTTAAAACCTTGCCTCCTTTGGTCTCTTATTTTATGTATCAGCTTCTCTAATACTATTGCGTCCCTTAACGTTATATACTAGTGGCACAAAAAAATTATTTGAATTGCAGTTTTCAGACTTTACTCTTTCTTTTTCTATTTATAAGATTACCAACTTTCTATTGGCAAAAGATGATTACACAACTTTTCCTACACAACCATTTGTATATAAATCAAATTTGAAAATGTTATTTTATTCTTATATTTTTTTTTTGTCGACGTTATTTTATTCTTATAAACAATCACAAATGTTCTAAAATTGT